TTCTTCTTGTAGGTACTATCAAATGCAACAACATCTCCAAAACATTGATAGTCACACCTACTAGTACCATCAGCCCAAAACAAATGTTCCATTTTTCCATCGTCTCCTACCATATATTTAGCATAAAACATTGGATCATTATCAGCCTTGCCTTGAAGATAACTTAAGGCAGCCAAAACATCTCCATCTTGGATTTTAGAATGTCTATATCGCTCAATGTGGTTAAAAAGGTCTTTCTTATTAAACCTAATGCCTAAATGACCTCCCTTTTGGTCCATCATGTATCCCATTATATGGCATGCTCTAACCCCATGTTCATGCAAACAATTAACTTGACCCTTATCACTACTTGACAATCCACGATAAGTCCTAATGAATGACACATAATTTGAGTGGCACATCTTATGGTTGTGACCCTCGTCAAATGACACAACTTTCCACTTACTTATTTTTTGATCAAGTTGTACACGAAATTTGGCTTTACAATTAGTACGACTAAGAGGCCATGCCCCTTTTTTCTATCATCTCATAATATGTTTTTTGTCTCTTAAACCCCCTTTATTGCATAAAAATTGACGCATTACTATTTTGCCATTTGCATCATGACCAATGTCATCCTTCCTAATCCCAAAACCATGAAATTTACCATATGCAAAGTAAAATTTATATGCATCATGTTCACTACCAAATTCCAAACCCAATATGTCCTCTACAGTCAAATCAATAAAACTTTTGTATTATAATTATGATTACTATCAATATGCGCATCATCTTCCTCATTATCAAAACAGACATCACTTCCACAACTTTCCATCTGATGCATTCTTATTAGAAACATTAATTTCCTTCTTCAAATTATTAAATAATTAAAGTTAACAATAATTTGAGTATAATTGAAATTACAAATAAGTGAAATGCATACATGACTTACTTCAATGGTGTTATTAAGAACATTTTCTTTATAATCTTTTGGAATCTTTCTCGAACTTTGATAGCAAATAGGAAATGCATTGAAATTTCTCGCAACTCGACCTAAGAACCTATTCAATAATGCTCCAGCATTGTCAATCAGTTGGTCTCCACTATTCCAATGCACTTAAAAAAGAAAATGACCATTAAAATATTGCAGCAAAGAAAAAAGAAAATGTTTGCCATTTGATATGAATTTCAATTTCAATTTTGCAGTATTGGCATTTTAATATAGGGATGAGTAACAATGTTTATGATGGAAAATAATAAAACTTGATTCAATCATGACATTATCTTGTATTTAATCTTTGGGTTGACAAAAATTTGCAATGTGACTCAGCTTTCTATTTAATTTTGAAAAGATCATTATTTAAGCTTATAATGAGTTAGGAATGCTCTTTTTCTTTTAATTTTTTTAATCCTATTAGTTGTGATGTCAACTCCAACTTTCTCAGAAGAAACTATTGTGGAATTTGAGGCTATTGTGGAAACCGTGACAATAGTATTACCTTCTGATAGGCAGGCTCTGGTGCACTAGTGGCTCCCAAAGGAGAAAACCCAAAAAAAGTCTTTTGAATGATATCTGGAAGAAGAATTATCTCATCAAAAATTATAAATCTGGAATAGTTAACCAACAAGGAGTTCACATCTCCACCCTTGTTAAAGTTTAAAGAGCTTAAGAAGTTTCTGAAACTTCAAGATCCTTCCTATCAGACTAATATTCTTATATCGAACCCTAAATCCTAAATATTTTTAACTTGAAAATTCCAACAACCTATTTAAAGCCGTATGCTATATTCAGATTGGGCTCAAATTTTGGCTTTTTGACCATAGTGGGGCTGTTTCTAAAATAATTTACGCAAATGGGGCTGTTTTGTAACTAATTACACCTTTGGGGCTGTTTATAACGGTGTCGCTATGACCCATAGCGACACCTATGACACGTGGCAATTTTTTTTTGTCTAAGTTAGGCTGGAATGAGCCATATCAGTGTCGCTATAAGCTGAGCCAGAAAACTTGATGGACTAGAAAAAACCATGTAGCCCATAGCGACACCCTATAAGAAAAAAATTAAAAAAAAATGAAAATAATAGAAATGTAAAATAAAAATAATAAACTGAGTTATTTATTATATATTTATAAAAATAAAATATTGTTTTTTAAAAACGAAATTTTAAATTAAATTATATGTATTTTTAAAATAGGCGCTATGGCTCAT